AACACACATACCACGACAAGATAAAGATTTAAGTGGTTCACCGAAAAAAGACTATATCCACTGGCACGGCAAACTAAAATCCGCGCTACTATAAAGTTAACTCTTTAACTCTCGACAAAACCGAGCAAACCTTTTTAGACCTGCTCTCCCGACCAACACCACTGCCGATCTCTCATCGATATTCTACAGCTAAACAACTATCCAAGAAGAGACCTATCTTTGTTCCACATCTATATTCTACAACAAAACAATTGTCCAGAAGAAACCCATCTTTATTCCGCAACTAAACCGATGTCCATACGACTAAACCGCTGTCAAGGAAGAGACCATTGAGAGCAACCGATACTTTCTCTCACTAAAAGGGGAAACATCCAAAGTCTTTATGGGAACTACTTCAACCAGCAGTCTCTTCTTTCCAAGGGGATGCCTTGCCTCTAATGCAAGGGAGGAAGCCCTTGCCTCCCCCCCTCTCTCTCTCTCTCTCTCTCGGAGGCCACCTTTCCCATATGGTGACCCAAGTAGATAAGACATATTCTTTCCTCTTTCATCCCATTTAGATAAGGTTAGTAATCCACACCAAATAGAAAACTTTCGTAGATGTTACATATATATCAAAATTAAGAGATTTACCCAAGAGTCCTAATCTTTTTGGATTTTTATTTCATTTAAGAAACTTATTAATATCAATCTCAATCCCACATTATATAAGATTTCATTATGTGAGTGATTCTTGGATATCACCATATCCAACAATTTGTTCATATTCTGGCCCTTGTGGTGTCACTACAGTTAATGAAGCTGATGCTAGAGGTTTTTTGGAAGGCATTAAGCTCTTGTCAAGAATTAAGGGAGAGAAGATCATAGAAGGGGATTCATCAAACATTATAGTTTCAAGTAAAGATGAAGCTAATATACCATGGAAGTTGACTATAATTTTTCATTCTCAAACTATAACTGTTGAAATCCATCATTGTTACAAGGAGTCTAATGCCAAGGGTGATTGTCTGGCAAAAGGAGTGCACCAATCTTCATTGGTGATTAATTCCTTCCGGTGACTTTGTATGTATCTTGTAACTTTGTATTTCTTTCAATATAAATTATTTGGTAATGTTAAAAAATAAAGTAATATGTACCCCCAATTAAAAAGTTTTAGGAAAAACTTGAAAATAATGATGTTTTTTAGATGTGCTTGATTTTTTGTAATTTAGTTTTTTATTTGTTGTTAGTGTAGTGATTTGAGGACCATATGCAAAATTTGTGCTCAAACAAGTTAAAAAAGACTATATAACTCAGTGTTTTAAAAGTCGGTGATATTTTACCCAGATCGCGAACCTGATAGGAATCAGTGGGGACCGAAATGATTTTGGGATGGCATGGGTTCTCGCCTGGTCCTCCCAACCTATTTTAAATTTTATTTTACTTTATTTACTTTTTAATATTTTCTACATCACGAACTCAAACTGATTCAGACACGATCCAAATCCATCTATCTGATACGGATACAAAGGTGAACGATTCGCCCCATCGATTCAGGTTTTGATTGATATAACTTGATATGTTTGTAGAGCAACATAAGCCACTTTGAAAATTAACATAAGCAACAAATGCGTGCTAGCTTCGGTCTGGCACACATTCGTGCGGAATCAACTTTAATAGGGATTATATATATATATATATATAGGGAAAAGATCATGTGCGCCCAAGTGCGTACTGCTACAGTAAATGTCCACGGCCCAGATTGAATCTGGACTGATATGACGATCACGGATATCTGATAGTATTTGAATTTTAATTTTGTTTTTACATATCCAAATCATTTAAAATTTTAGGCATATGTTCTTAAAAAATAGGTGAATCTATGAAAAATATCAAAAAAATATTTTACATGAAATAAATTGACCAAAATATCTCTGAAAAGATTTGGAGGTATTTTGGTCAATTTATTTCACGTGAGTCTTACTGAGAAAAACACATATCTAAAATTTTAAGTGATTTGGATTTGTAGAAAAAAAATTAAAATTCAAACACTATCGGACATCAATGAGCGTCAGATCGGCCACAGAATGACCCAGATTCAATCTGGGTCATTGGTGTA